TATTTGGGTTGTTTCTTCTTTATGGCTGGTAGGACTTCCTCTGCCATTGACATTTTTGTACAATTATTTTTTTTTTTTTTGAGGGGGACTTCTGTTTTTAGTTAGGGGGCATATAGTTAGGAGTAGAGTTACTGAAATGTGTTAACTTTAACCTTTTAGAAATGGCAACACTTCCAAAATGTCGCTACAGTACACTAGATTTAATGTGAAAACTTTTCTGTATTTTAAAGTAGAAATCACTTCACAGAATTTTATTTGCAGTTCAATTTTGGCTTACTTAGTAAGGGCTGTATAATATTTATTACAGTAATTCGTTTTGAGTGGTATCAGGCTTTATTTTAGTCAACAGAGACTACTTAACGATGTCTCAACTAATCAATAAGTCTTAGTAGTATTTTGTAATGCGTCTCTAAAGACTAAACATGTTAGCGATTGTTACCCACCGGGGAATACAAGATAAAATTGGAAGAAAGCAGGGAAAGCTATAAGGAGGGATGTTTTGCAGATCGTTTGTCTTTGAGGTCCATTGTATGTGCCCCCCCCTCCAAGATCTTGTCTCTCTGTAGCCCCAGCTGGCCTGGAACTTGCTTTGTGTACCAGGCTGGCCTCAAACTCACAGAGATCTGCCTGCCTCTGCCTCTGCTTGGGATTAAAGGAATGCACTACCACACCTGGCCTGTCTCAGTTTTTATGTTTGTATGTATGTGTTTATATGTGTGTTTATGTTGTTTTGTTTTAAAGAAAACTCTTACCTTTACAGGGAAAGATGAAGAACGAAATTGCTGCTGTCGTCTTCTTTTTCACAAGGCTTGTTCGGAAACATGATAAGTTGAAAAAAGAAGCCGTAGAGAGGTTTGCTGAGAAATTGACCCTAGTGCTTCAAGAGAAATATAAAAATCACTGGTATCCAGAAAAACCATCAAAAGGACAGGCCTACAGGTAAAGAATTAGATTTGACCAAGTGAAGATCAGTTCATGTAATAGCTGCAAGGCCAGAGGGCCAAAGGTTGTCTGTCTAGACCATGTCTGTCATGATTTTATCTGCAAAATACACAGACCTCTGAGGTGCTGAGTATTTTCTCATGCATTATCATAGGTGCTTGGAGGTTTTCACAGTTCTAGAAGATTCCTAATCACAATGGGCATGGTCAGAATTGAGGGAAATGAGTCTCATTGTATCTGAAGATAAATGACATGCTGCATGCTTTGAAGTTTTGTTGGTACATAATAGACAACTTGTGCTCTTGGCCTGTACAGGGATGGTCTTTAAATACTGTGCACAATTCATTGTGGTATAAGCCAGTTTAACATAACTCATCTATGTCCACAGTGCTGAATGCTAGCTTTGGGATTTGAAATCAAGTCTTAACTGACTCCAGGTTTTCATGAGCTTCTATACATGGCACTGAGAAAGAAGAGAATTCTTATTGTGGCTTTTGTATTTTAGAGGTCACATTTATAGCTTGAAGTAGGCTCCTGAAAAAAAACATGCCCAGACATGCCCACTGCCAGTACCAGGTATATCTGCTTAAGAGGCTTGGGCTGACAGTCTCCTAAAACTAGCTATCATACCTCCTCCAGTTTGGGATATGATCTCAAAATTAGAAATGATAGTGTGGTAGTGACAACTCCAGAGATTCTTGTATTTGTCAATATTATTGTCACTGGGGTTTCCTCTACAAATAAACACTTTACTGCATTGATATCAAAAGGACTTTTGCTAAACATTTACAATTTAGAAATCTAGGATTGAGGTGAAAAGAGCATTTGCTGTTATTTCTCCTTTGCTTGAAGCCACTTGGGGTATAATATTCTAATGATAAGAAAAGAACCAAACTAATTTCTATATTTGCTTCATACTTATCCAAAGATATTTCCTAATAACTCAGTAAATGTGAATTGAAGTTGACTCAAGTAATTTTTTTAGCTTCTTGTTTTAATTGTCGTTTTTCTGTACATCCTCATTTCTGGGAGAGTGAAGAGCTTTTGTGAGTTACAGCTATTGAAGCTTTTTACGCTTAACCTAATTGATGTTGGGCAATGCCAGGCCACCATAATATTACTGAAAAAGAAGGCACTAAGAAATACTGAAAGGTCAGCCAGTGTAGTTTCATTTCCCAGTAATTCTAAAAACCTGAGAAAAAGTCAAATAAGATTAAATTGGCATGTGCTCAGAAGTGTCATTGAACCATTTTGAAACTGTCTTGTGAATAAGAACTATTAGACTTCATGTGGCTTGAGAAAAAAATGAGGAATATAAGTTAAAATTGTTTCTCTACATTTAGACAAATAAGATATTTGGGGAGGACAGCTTGACAATACTAAGATCTGTAAAAGTCTCAAAGTCTACTGTGGGAACATAAATCAGAAGTGGACGCAAATTTGTATGAATGTAGATGGTACTTTTACTCTTAGTACTTATAAGAAAACATTGGGAAGGAGCATCAGCGTTAAGTAAATAATAGACTATTTTCATGCTATTTTGTAATTTTGTATTCACAGTAGTTAATGGTAAAGTAGTCATAGAATGTAGGGTGAAAAAATAGAATAAAAATATATATGGTATCGAAATTTGGTGCAAACTCTAACTATATACATGTAATTTTGATGCTTAGAGTCAGCATCACTCTCATTGTGAGGAGGTGTGTAAAATGTGTAAGATCTGCATTCTTTTTTAAAAAATATTTTTATTTTCTGTGTAAGTGTATTGCTTGCATGTATGCAAGTGCACCCATGCCATGCAATGCCTTTGGAGGTCAGAAGAGGGCATTGGATCCCCCCGGAACTGGAATTTTGCTGTGTGTGTTGGGAACTGAACCCAGGCCCTGCTCTTAACCACTGAGCCATCTCTCCAGCCCCAAGAGCTGCACATTCTTAAGTCCTTTTGATGTTGGGGTACATGGCACTTTTGAATTGCCGTGTATATATGACATTAGAGTCTGTAGGATAGATCCATCTTACAAAAAGGATCAAGACATATACATAATAAAACAATTTTTTCCACTCTTAATTTGCTGTTGTTAATGGTGCTATTCAGATAGACTAGGACACTGTGGTGGCATGTTTTGAGGGAAAAGGGGTTTTATATGCTTGGAGATCTAACCCAGGCTTTCATATGTGTTAGGCGATTATTCTAAGTTAATACCCTAGTCCTGGGTATTGTTAAGTAACATGAACTTTGGAGTCTAGGGACCTAGCTTTGAAGTCTAGATTGACAATGTGATGTGGGACAAGTCTTCAAGTTGCTTCTTTTTTTTCCTTATAATGGTGAAGATAGTATCTAGCTCATGAAGTAATAAGAAGAATTAAGAGTTATTAGTACATGCAGAAACTAATAAGTGTAGGAAACTGTTGCATAGTAAATGCTCGAAAAGAAGTACTACCTTTTAGAAATGTTTATTGTTGTATAATGAGAACTTTCTTCCATAAAGATTGAACCCAGCTAATAAAAACACCCAACTTTAAAAACTAAGTAGAAAACTATTACTATACTAGTAATATCTGAGACACTGCTTGGTCTTTTGTTAGTTACAGATTTTATTGCTATTATTGGGTGCTCGAGATTGAGCCCAGTACATGGACACTCTAGGCAATTGCTCTACCACTGAGCTATATCCACTCACTGCCCAAACAGCACATTATTATTGATAGTACTGTGGCACAATTAGAGTCAGATCATTTGTATTGTCATATTTTTGTTGTCAGGTGCAGTACAGAAGTAAACAGTTTATCTGATCTCACCCAGTACATAAGCACCAGCACTAGTTCTAACACCAGATTCTCTTGGTTAAATCTTCATTGAAGGCAGGAAATACTTTTCATATTTTCCATCGTAGCTACTAGTTTCTATTTAAGCAAAATGCTTATTTTAATGTACATCTTGCATTTGCTGTTTTATTTATTTGGGAAAAAAATGGGTTTATTGAGTCCAGTACCAGGGGCAGCAGGCTAGGCAGTGAAGAGAGTACTGTGTGCAGCTACTAGCTATGTTTGTCAACATTCAGTTGTTAAATGTGGCATTTCTTAGTTTAAAATGTAACAGGATTCATTAATTAACTTACTTTGGCAGCTTAAAGAAAATTCTTGGGTAACACAAGTTACATGGAATGAACTAAAAATATTCTAGGACTACATGTTAATCATAAGTATGTGATATGAGCAATTCTTTTGTCCTTGAATAATTTTGTAGTTTTGGAACAATTATAGATGAAGTAAAGGTCATTCCCTTTAAGACTTACCTTCTTATCTGGGATGTAAAAGCAAATTAGTGACATTAAAAGTTCTCACAAAACATTTCCAGTAATATTTGAGTCATTCGTTGGAGTCTTATATTCGTTATAAATTTCATCTACTTAATATATAAAACCTAATTTGTAAAAATGTATACTGGTTGGGGTGGAGGTATAGCTCTGTTAGTAGAGAACTTGCCTGACATGAATGAAGCTTGGGATTTGATTTCCCCACATTTCAAAAAACCACGTATGATGATGTAGACCTGTAATCCTAGCAATTTGGGGGTAGAGGCGTTAGGATCAGAAGTCCAAGTAACATCCTCAGCAGCATAGCAAGTTTGAGGCCAGCCTGGGATATATGAGAATCTGTCTCAAAAATTTGTGTGTGTGTGTTGCCAGAGTTGTAACTAATATAGCTTTGATCTCCATGTTTATTAAATGTACAGGGCAGTTTAGTATAGTCTGTGATTACCCTGGGCTCACACAGATACCTTCTTTTACCAGACCAGGCAGTCTTGATGTTCCCTCTTTGCCTGATGTTCACATGTAAGAATCTCATAGGTTCTCATTCAGGGTGTTTTTGTTATTACTCACATTCACATATGTTGGTAGATCAGGTTTGTGATTGAGATTCAATTATAGCTATTAATTTAATTCTTCTTTCTTGTAGATGCATTCGTGTCAATAAGTTTCAGAGAGTTGATCCCGATGTACTAAAAGCCTGTGAGAACAGTTGCATCTTGTACAGTGACCTGGGCTTGCCAAAGGAGCTCACACTCTGGGTGGATCCATGTGAGGTGTGCTGTCGGTGAGTCCTCAGGCTTAACAGCTGAACTGATTTTACCAAATTATTTCATGTCTGGCCTACCTATGTCATTTAACAGCCAGGACCTGGTACTTGGACTTACTTAAGCAGGAGGTATATGAAATTGCCTTCTTGAGATGGTGAAAAACAGGTTACATTTCTGTTTTATACCTCAAGGAACTCATAAACTGATTGGACAGGTTTTCCAAGAACTTTGCCAAGGATTTTATTGTATACCAAAGGTAGAATGTGGAACTTAAACACCTAGTCCTCTGTTACTGTTTCATTGATGTTCCACATCTCTTTCTTCAAATTAGGAGCAGCTGATTCCAAATAGTGTGAGTTAATAACCTTCAGTTGGTGTCCATCTCTCCGCCTTTCTTATTTTGATTTCAAATGACTAGAGTAATACTTTCTTTTATTCATTTATGTGTATGAGTGTATTGCCTGCATGTGTGTAAGTGCACCTGTGTCATGCAACGCCCTAGTCTAAGAGGGCATCAGATTCCCTGGTTTACCTTTTACTGGGGTTCAGGAAACTTGAATGGGTGATACTTGAGTTGGGATGTGAAGGATGAACTGAGGTTGACTAGGTGACAAGGTTGAAAAGCTATTTTTCTTTAGGATGAAAGAACAGGGTGAACTAGTAAGTAATGCTAAAAATACATGGCTATTCTTCAACTAAATTTTAGTAGGAAAACTCCTAGAGATAACTTCTTGATTGCCAGCAGTTGTATAAAGTTGTGGAAATTTTGTGTGCGAGGTACAAGTTTATAAAAATGGAAATTCTCCAAAACTTTGTTTTATTTACTATTTTTATGTGTATGTGTGTATTGCTTGCATGTAGGTAAGTGCACCTGTGTCATGCAGTGCTTGCGGAAGACAGAAGAGGCTGTCAGATTCCCTGGAACTGGAGTTAACTGTTGGGTGCTGGGATTTGAACCCGGGTCTTTTGTAAGAACAGCTAGTGTTCTTAAGGGCTGAGCCATCTCTCCAGCCCCTCCAAAACTTTTTTAGAGAAAAAGGAAGAGTAAGCCATGTAAAGTTGATCGGAGATGGCCAAACATTATTAGATTGTGAGACTCTTTAGGGTCTCTGTCACTTGAGTGAAAGATTTTGGAGACTTTGTCCACAGAAATCCTGCTAAATACCTCAGTTTGTAAGAAATAACTATCAAAAGTTACTATATTGAATTACTTTGTTTGACCTATACTTGGAACCTGATTGACTCTAAATTTAACACATAGTTCTTTAAGTTACTTTTGTGATTTCTCAGCCCATAAACAAAAATTAGAAACAGATTTTCAGCAGATGGACTGGAACTTTAGTTCAGTGGCTCTGGGTTCAATTCCCAGCTTAGGAGAGGGAGATGGGGTTGTGCATAGTATTTATAAAGTTACAAGGGTTACTTTTTTTTTTTTTTAACAACTAATACAGATCACCTTCAAAATGTAGGTACACACACTCAGTGATAACAAAACTCCCCAAAGAACAACATACTAACAATTGTAAAGGTGATCACTATTAGTTAATAGAGGATACTGAAATATTGAAAAGTCCTTTTGAACTCAAACTAGAAAGATAAGTTTTCTGGAAATTGAAACAATTGCTGATGTAGCAGTTGTACAGTTGAAAGATACCTGTCTTAAAAAAACAGTAACTCAAGGCTGGAGAGGTAGCTTAGTTGTTAATAGTGTATACTGGTCTTCTAGAGGACCCAAGTTTGGTTCCTAGTACCCACAGCAAGTGGCTCACAGCTGCCGGTAACTCCAGCTCCAGAGAATCTGACATGTCTGGCTTCCGTTTGCACTGATATTCATGTGCACATAACCACACTTAGACATACACACATAATTAAAAATAAAAACAAGTCTTAAAAAAAAATTCATTGGTATGCTTGAGACAAAGCTGGTATTAAAAATGCACTTAGAGAGAGCATTCTTCATAGTTTTATTATGTTGTTGGGATAAAATGCTAGGTGAATACAGAGAATAACATAGCTTAAAAGATTATCACTTAGTGAAATACTTAAGGATACAGAATAGATTATAGATTTTTCCTATGAGAAAGTCTTGAGAGTAGCTGGCAGCTCTATCCAGTATTATTTTACAACTTTTAAAATAATGTCTGCAGTCTTTCTGATAAGAAGCATTAAATAAATATTTACTTGTTTCATAGTAGGTGAATTAGACTTTGTTTTAGCAATATATCATTGAAAAATGAAAGTTTAAAAGTTGTCCATTACTAATTCTCCTAAGCACTTAAGTACATTCTTAATGTTAGCAATTGACATAGCTTCATTTACCATGAAGCCATCCTACCAAATTACTACAAAGGTAAAGACGTACCACTTCATTGGTGTTGAAGAGATCTGAGTTAATAAAGTTGCCTGCCTTAACTTTGTTTCTACAAAGGCAGTGATTTGTATTCTAGTGACTTTCCTGCCTTTCTAATGCCTGAATTTTAACTCCATAGTGGACAAAAATGATAGGTATAAGCCTGTTGTCCATATTGCTATCATTAATACATGAATTAACCTTTGAGCTTTTAAAGCATGAAAAAAATATCCATACTTAAAACTTCATTCTAAGTAAATGTGAAATTACATATACTGCATGTATTGTGTGTTGTGAAGCATTCACCTAAACTACTTAGGCATTGCCTGTTAAGAATTCCTAGATAAGTATCCAGCTACCTCTAGCTTCCCTCATCTGGTGGATAAGGAAACTAAGGCCCAAGAAGATGATAGGTGAGTTGTATTTGATTATAGTAGCTTTCAACTCTGGATTTTCCTGTCTCAGCCTACTGAGTGCTTGAAAAAAGTGAGCAGTTGGGGCTGGAGAGACAACTTGGTGGTTAAGAGCACTGGCTGCTCTTGCAGAAGACCTGGATTTGAATCCCAGCACCCACATGGTAGCTCATGTCAGTAACTCCAGTTCCAGGGTACCTGATGCCCTCTTCTGTCCTCCATGGGCACTGCATGACAAGGTGCACTTCGTACATGCAGGCAATATACTCATACATACAAGATAAAAGTAAATAAATAGGAGCTGAAGAGATGGCTCAGCAGTTAAGAGCACTGACTTGTTCGATTCCCAGCACCTACATGGCGGCTGCAAACCGTCCTTAACTCCAGTTCCAGGGGATTCTGAAGCCCTCTTCGGACACCACAGCATTGCATGACACGGGTGCCCTCACATACATGCAGATAGTACATTCATACACATAAATAAAAATAAATAAAATATTAAAAAGTAAACTTTTTAAAAAAGATGACAGTTAACCTAGACGTCTCCATAACACAAATTCAAGAAAAACTCCTTCACTTTCTTTATCTTTTTGGTTTTCTTTAATTTCAATAGGTGTGAAACACAGGTTGCTTTTAAATTTAATGGTAAAAGTAAATCTAGGAAGTTTTTAGTTGATTTGGGACTGGAATTTCTAGGATATACATTTAGGAATACATCAGAGGGACTGGAGAGATGGCTCAGCTGTAAGAAAGAGCACTGGCTGCTCTTGCAGAGGACCCGGGTTCAATTCCCAGCACCCACATGGTGGCTAACAGTCATTTGTAATTCCAGTTCCAGAGGATCTGACACCCTCTTCTGACCTCCACGAGCATTGCACGACAAGGGTGCACTTACACACATACTCACAATATACTCACACACATACAATAAAGATAATAAAAATCTTTCTTAAGGAAATTAGAGCTGTGCCACCACTGACAGAACTTGGTAGGTACATCTCTCAACTCTTCAGAGAAGCTGCATCTTGGAGTCAATAGCGACTAAGACGGGGCGGGGGGGGCACAGTTGGTCAATGCACAAAGAACAAGAGATTAAAGAATGCTTGGTTCTAAGTGGGACACCTGTATCAAACCCTCTCCTCAAGGCTCACGGATCATTGAGGAAGAGGGGCAGAAAGATTCTAAGAGCCAAAGGTGGTGGATAAATACAAGGAAACCCGAAAACCCAGTTTTCCAGAGTCAAAAGAGCAGTTGCACACATTAACCCACAGTGTTGTTTGACAGTGTACAACAAGACCTGTGCAAGATCAAGCGAGACAAAAACCCAGTGTGAATTGGGAAGGTGGGCAAGAAGCCCTAGCCCTAAGTGAGGAACTACTGCTGGGAGAGCGAGTCAGCTTTCTTTAAGGATGTAATGTTGGGTGCTTAGACACAGCTTCAGAGGTTAGGCCCACATTCAAGAACATTTAAGGAACACAAATTAGACTGGATATGCCTTTTAAAAAATAATGAAAGGACATGAAGTTGGGGGTGGTGGGGTAAGGTGGGAGTGGACGTGGAGGGTCTGAATATAAATATACTATGAAATTCTCAAAGAATCAATAAAAAAATTATTTTCTGTCTTTTTTGAGATAGGATGTCCCTGCAGCCCCAGCTGGCCTGGAACTCGCTATGTAGACAAGGTTGGCAGAGATCTCACAGGGATCCACCTGCCTCTGCTCCACTATACCCATTAGGAAAATGTTATAACTAATTTCATGTAGTCAAAAGATGAATGAATCACTTGTGATATTTCAACCATTTTGTTTTGAAGTCAGTAGAAAATAGCTACTTTCATTTATACTTAAATTGAGTAGGAGTGAGGAAATTAAATGGTGGCAGGGAGCTGGGCTGGATTTTTAAATGTGTAGAATCCAATTCTGATTTGGATCCTCTATTGCCTTGGAACAGTGGCATGTCCAGACCTGTTTGTTTTTAAGGCCATCTCTTGCTTATAATGATTTGCACATTGCGTTTGTGCTTTAGGTATGGAGAGAAAAACAATGCATTCATCGTTGCCAGCTTTGAAAATGAGGATGAGAACAAGGATGAGATCTCCAAGAAAGTTAGCAGGGCCCTGGATAAGGTTACCTCAGATTATCATTCGGGATCTTCCTCCTCAGATGAAGAACCAAGTAAGGAAGTGGAAGTGAAACCCAGTTCAGTGACTGCAACCCCAAGTCCTGTGTACCAGGTAAGCTGGAAACACTTCCTATGACAGGGCCATAGTGCTCCAACTAGCCCTGTTGTGTGCCCAGAGACTCTGGATAAATATTCTGAGTCCCACTTCTTCTCATTTACACAGTGAGGAGAAGCTGCTTCTCTCAGATGCATTGAATCACTTTTATCAAAAGTATGTTTCACTCTTCAATAACTAGGATAAATATGATTCAAGAAAATGTGCTCCCCCTCCGAGAAAAGTCATGATAAAATATTACTGATTAAAATTTCTTCATTTTATTCAATAATTGCTGCTCACTTTTTATTTTATTTTATTTTTTTGGTCTTTTTGAGACAGGGCCTCCCTGTAGCTCCAGCTGTCCTGGAACTCACTATGTAGACCAGGCTGGCCTTGAACTTACAGAGATCCACCTGCCCCTGCCTCCCAAGTGCTGGGATTAAAGGTGTACGCCACCACACCCAGCTTTATATTTTTTTTAACACTTCCACTTTTCTTACTCTTCTTTCCCTTTTCATTATTAGAAACTTCACTGGACTGTATTTTGTTTAGTTTTTTACTCAAGCCAAAACAAAGTTTCCCTTGTTACTTTAACAGTCAAAAGCATCCTATACCTAGTGTGTTTGCATTTACAGATTTAGTTTATATCTACCTACTAAAAAAGCATTTAATTACTTTTTCATATGTAATTTATTGAGAATTTCATACATGCGTATAATGTGTTTTGATCAAATCCATGCCCACTCCCTCCCCTCCAATTCCTCCCATATCTCGCCATCACTTTTTTCTGATAACTTCATGTACTCTTTCTTCTTCTTGTATTTTTTTTTTTAAATGGGGCTTTTTCTTACTCGTAACATTCCCCCCTCTGAAGAGGTAAGGTAACCCTAAAATCTTTTAAAGATAAAAGTCCCAAATACTTTCAATATTTTTGGCCTTTGGAACAGAGTATGTTGCTAAGAGGCTCAAGGACATTGTGAGTTTTAGCCAAGAAACTGGCTACTTTTCTTTGGGGTCTTTTTACCCTAACTGCCTACTCTTACCTATACGAGGGAAAGAAAGTCCTTGACTGGTGAATAGGGGGTGTGAAGGAAAAGTAAAGGCAAGAGTAATTACCATTACAAATTCTACACAGGGAACTAGAAAAAAGTCAGAACAGGGCAGTTTTCAAATGTTCATATGAGAGCTCATTGGAATTTCTTGACAAGGGTTTCCAAAAGCATTCTTCTATTGGGTTCCTCATTTTTCTTTTGCCTGCCAAGGCTGGACTAGAAAGTGATGGATTCAGGATTTGTTTTCAGGCATTTTGATAGCTATTGGAGTGGTTAGAATCTGTGTCAGTTCCCTCTCAAAGTCTTTTAGACAGGGGGAGAAAACAAATTTAGCCATCATTTTAGAACAATAGCTGATTGTCTCCTTTAGCTATAGGTGGGCACCACAGTATTGGAGACCAAGATTTGAAGTCTTACATCTGAGCAGCACTTTCTGATTAAGAACAAAATCATCAATGGGAAGTAATTGTCTAAATAACTTTATATGGACTAAAGCCTAATGTCTGGGAAGTGTAATTCCTTGAACTCTTAAATATACTGATGACTTTACTCTTTAGTTATACTTTCCTTTTGGGTGTCTGTAAGACCATACAGGTGGCCCAGATAAATCAGTTTATTTTTACACTTAAGGTTGTTTGAGGATCTGTTCCTCAAGGGTCTCATGGGCTTGGGAGGAGCCCCCAGCTCCTTTCTTTTACCAGTTCCATTTATGTGAAGATAAGTCAAAGGTCCTGCTCGACCATATCTGGCTTCACTTGGAAGCATGGATGAGATGTTTCCTCTGAGTTGACCCTCCTCTTTGTAGACTGGACACTGGTTCAAGTCCATCTCATGGGGTATCCATGTCCTCCCTGAACAGAGGACAAGTGATTCACCACAGTTACAGGACATTTTGAGAGATGCTTCATATTACCCTGTAACTTAGTCGACCTTGGAGGGCAAGGGGCAAAAACTGTCCTTTAAGTCCCTCTGACCACATTAGTATAGACCTCAAAGTATGGCTGTTAGACATCCAAGAAGATTAGTTCCAGAGTCTTGTACTTTAATTACCATGTGCTATGTAGATAAAGGTTGGGTAAAAACCAAATATTCTCAGATAAATCTTGACTTGATATATATTTTGTTCCTTAACTAGTTGACTAAACAATGACCTTAAAAACTTTAAGATTATGTGTATATTATTTTTGTCTCATCCCTTATATATGATAACACACTTACACAGACCTTCATCACTTGGCTTAGGCTTTCTCGTTTTTTCTGTGTATTTTGGAAAATATATCCATTCCCATATCCTTTTAACATCTTTTACATTCTCATTTTCTTTTTGTAAATAATATGAGACATAATGGCATTAACAAAAAAGTTTTCCATCTGTTATGAGAATTCTTTTCCTGGAGATACTAAGCAATGCTTATTCCCTTTAAAAGTTCTAGTGTCAAGCCAATGTTTGATTAAAGTTTTACTGGTGAACCAATGAATTTACTGAGCTTACTTGCTGAGATAACTGAGGGGTTGCGGAAGTGTATGAATGACCTGAGGGTATGCACACTAGAAAGCCTTTACTCAGCATGTTGTATACTTTAGCCCTCCCAAATCCAGGAGACATGTGTGATTAGGGCCAAATTACATACAGAAGGCTGGGAAGAGTGGCTGGATACTCTGGTGAGGATCCAATGACCCTGTTTGCCCCTCCGTCAACAAGCCCAATTGTGACAGTATTTAACAATCAGGCACAGCTGAAGTGATGATGGCAGTTACTTCATGCAGAAGAGACTGTCGTATGGCATCATCTTATTAAAAGACATGGAATTTAAAGGATTTCCTGCTAGGATCCACAGATGAGGGAGAACATAGGTCTTTTATTTTTCTGAAATTGTGTTACTTCACTTAGTATAACAGTTTCTAGATCCATCCATTTATCTGAATATTTCATTATTTCATCTTTACTGCTGAATAGAACTCCATTGTGTAAATACACCACATTTTTGTTAACCACTGGTCAGTTAAGGGCACTTAGGTTGCTTCCAACTCTTAGCTATTGTGAAAAGAGCAGCAACAAACATGATTATACAAGTATCTCTACAATAGGATGAGTCCTTTGGATATATGCCAAGGAGTGGTATAACTGGGTCATATGGTAGGTTCATTTTTAGTTATTTAAGAGTTTTCCACACTGTTTTCCATAGGGGTTGTAAGAGTGCAGTCCCAGCAGCAGTGAATGAACGTTCCCCTTTCTCCACATCCTCGCCAGCATTTGGTATCATTTGGCATTTAATTACTTTTTAAAAACTTGACCAACAGTATTCAACAGAAGAGAAACTAATTTTTAAAACTTTACTTATTTATGTGTATGAGTGTTTTAAGTCGGAGACATTTATAGATGTTTCGACTTGAGCTTTACTCTCTACATGTACATACCTACTATTTTAGAATATTTAAAAATCTACCTCTTACTAAATTTGTCTTCGACATAATTTAACATACCAAGGTTATAGTGAGAGCAGAGTTGGACTAAGACAAAAATTTTTTCCTAATGAATGAGAAGCAGATTATTTGAATTTTTGAATATGAGAAACTGAACTTTCAAATTCATCATACGTCTATATTTGAACATTTTTCCCAAAGAAATGGAATCCTCCCCCTTGTTTTTTATTTCATTTTGTTGAGTCAGGGTCTCAGGTCTGTATGTAGCCCCATCTGATCTAGAACTCTCAAAGCAAGAAGAGTTTTATTAGAGTTTAAAAGGGAAACCCCCAGGACAAGCTGTAAATCTCAGCTGCTGCCTGGAGGAGAATGAAGGAGAAGGAAAAAAGGCCATGTCTACAGACATGTAGCTAACAAACAGCCACATGGTGGGGAACCAGGCTTTAGAGACAAGAGTACGGAAGTCCTTTTTAATGCCTACACCTGGAAGGGCAAATTAGAGATCAGAGAATCTGAAACTTATGGAGTGTAGCATTCTGAACATAGAGGCCCAAAACTACTGATAAGATTTTGAATAATGTGAACTTGATGTTACCTGACTTGCAGGATAATTTTAAGACAGTTGTACTCAACAGCTACCACAGAATGATCTAGAAAGCTTTGCCAAATTCTTGTCCTCTATTCCTCAGATTCCATTGTTTTTAAGTAGACCTTGGCTGAGGATAAGCATTTGTGCTTCAAAGCTCCCTATATGACTCCTCACTTAGTTAACTAGAAAACAGTGCTTAAATGCCCTAAAACCTAGTATGTTCTTAGAAGTTTCCATATATTCTGTAAAGTTGTTTTAGGTATGTTTTTGTTTAATTCTTTAGTAAGCATACATTGTGAATGATGTGGTTTGGAAAAAATTTTTAAATATATTTAAACTTAACATAGTAATGCCACTTTGACCTACTCTTAGGGTTCTTTGTGAGTGAGTGGTAGTTTGTGTGACTGAACAATCTGAAAGTTTACCTAGTCTCTGTTGAAAACATGACTTAGTTTTTTCTTTCAACATACTTAATGCTTTCTCTTCCCTGCAGATTTCAGAACTGATATTCCCACCTCTTCCAGTGTGGCACCCTTTGCCCAGAAAAAAGCCAGGAATGTACCGAGGAAATGGCCATCATCAGAGTCACTACCCTCCTCCTGTTCCATTTGGTTATCCAAATCCAGGAAGAAAGAATAAACCATATCGTCCAATTCCAGTGACATGGGTACCTCCTCCTGGGATGCATTGTGACAGAAATCACTGGATTAATCCTCACATGTTAGCACCACACTAGCTCACTAGTTCCTTTTGATTGTGTTGATGTCATGTTGATACAAAGGAAGAATATACCTTATTCTGCATTAAAAGTTCATACTTGTAGTGAAGTTAGATGGGCCAAACCATCAAACTTATTTTTATAGAAAAGTTACTGAGAATAATCTTTCTTAAAAATTATATGCACTTTAGACATATTGATATAGTTTGAGAAACTTTATTAGTCAAGTGCCTGGGTTTTTAATATTGGATTTGTGTATTTATATATTGTGCGTTGACTCTGTTGAATACAACAAAAACACTGTAGGAGTGGGCAATGTGTTCTCGCACCTTTGAGCATTTACTTTATGGAGAGTATGTAAGTTATTTATACACAGGAAATCTATTTTATGTTGTTGTTTAGAAGAATTACGTGAAATCATGTAGTTGCAAATAAAAAGTAGTTTAAGGCATGACAATGTGTGGTTTTGTTCTGTGCATAAGATGAAAAAGCAGAAGGGATATTTTATCTCAGTGTGTTTAAATATTTAAAGAAAAAAATCTAAATATTCCTTTAAAAAAAATTGTTGACCATACCTTCCCCAAATTCTACATAGCAGAATATACATCCAAAAAATCTAAAATTTACTGGTGGTAGCTAATATCAAAGTAACTGTACATAGGACTTTTTGTCACCAGGATTTTGGCTCAGTAATTTCATTGGACATCTGGTTTACATTAGGTAGTGGCTAATCTGCCTCATAAACTGAGTGTGATGGTCCATACCTGTAATCCCATTATATAAGAGGCAGAGGGAGATGGACCAGGAGTCCAAGGCTCACCTCAGCTACACTTCAAATTCAAGGCCTGCCTGAGCTAGATGCGCGCCTTTTGGTCACCCTGGTTTTTTTTTTTTTTTTTTTTTTTTTTTTTTTTTTTTTTTTTTTTTTTCTTTCTTCAAAAAACAGTCTACTAGAGTTCTGAGTAGAAATTACAGTACTTGATTCTTCAGCAGTCCTTCATATTTTTATACCACTGTAATCCCATCGGTCTCGTAAGCATACTTCAACTATAGAAAAAAAAAAGAAAAATATATGAGTTTGGATTCCTACCTAAAGATAAACTTATAAAAACATACGACAATACTTTCCCTCCTTTACCTTAACCTCTAAATTTTAACCGTTTTTTTTTAAGACAGGGCCTCCCTGTAACGCCAGCTGGCCTAGAACTCACTATGTAGGCCAGGCTGGCCTTGAACTCACAAAGATCGACCTGCCTCTGCAAGTGCTGGGATTGAAGGCGTGCACCACCATGCCTGGCTAAATTTTTAGCTTTTAAATTATTTGACTTAACCAAGAACAATCACAGTTTCCTACTAACTTACTACATGGCTTTCGCTAGTTCAAGAATTCCTGTCAGTTCCTATCAGATTTTTTAAATTGACATACACCCATAGAAAAGAAAAAGTATGGTTCAGTGATTTGGAAAATGAAGTTAGTTTTTATAGTGGGGTTTACAGTATTTGTAACTAAAAAAAATTTTTTTTGGAGATAGGGTCTTCCTGTAGTCCCAGCTGGCCTGGAATTCACTCTGCATCTCAGAGGCCTGCCCCTGCCCCCCAAGTACTGGGATTAAAGCATGTGCTACCACTCCCAGCACTAGGGACCATATTTATAACAATAAAGACTCCTAGTCTTAATGTCACTGTGCACTGACATAAGCCATTAACGACTTCTGCCTATATCTAAACCACAATGTCTACATTTCTTCTGAAATCTTTTCCTACTGGTAATCAGCATCACAAGGGAAATTAGTTTTAAAATGAGAAAGGGAAAAAAGTTTTCAGATGGAAGTCCTATTATGTTGCCTTGGCTGGTCTCCACCAGCTTAGCTCAGATGATCCACCTCAGCACCCTAGTACTGGGATTAGAGGCAAGTATCACCATTGCCCCACTAAAAAATAACTCGGGGGTCATGGAGGCAGTGACAGATTTGTGGGCAGTTGATACAAAGTTGGAAAGTTTGAAGCACTTTTTCAGGAAAGATAACATTTGTTCTAGTTTGTTACAGGTATGTAAACTTGGAAAATTTGAAGAACAGACAGGAAGAACCATTTGAGCACTCATCAGATAACTACATATTTGCATGTACTAGAAAACATAAATCTCAGAATGCACCACCAAACCAGGCTAATATTTCTTCACAGAACATAAAATTCAGCTGGACATGGTGGTATACTCCTTTAATCCCAGCATTCAGAATGCAGAGACAGGTGGAGGATCCCTGTGAGATACAGACCAACTTGGTCTACATAATGAGGTCCAGGCCAGCTGGGGCAATAGGGAGACCCTGTCTCAAAAAGGAAAAAAAAAAACAAAACCCAGGAAACACTAAAACTTTAA